CCCCAAACCCAGCCGCTGCTGAAACTGACCAGCAGCGACTGAATCAGGGACATCTGGGGCAGAGCCGGACTATGGGAAGGAGGGCTATGAGGGGTCTGGGGTGGCATCCCCCCCACCCCACCCCAGACCCCTCATAGCCCCCCCCTTCCAATAGTCCGGCATATCTGATCATCCGGGACCCCCGGGTCCTAAAGGTGCCGGATTATCAGAAGTTTACTGTACATGTTTTGTTAGTCTTTAAGGTGCTACTAGATTATTTATTGTTTTTAAAGCTTTTTCATCTGAGTCTTGGCTGAGATGGAGGCTACTTCAGTCCCTTGTGCAACATAGAGTAACTTTGGCATGTAATGGCTCCTAAAGGGCTATTCAAAACAACAACTAGAATGGGAGGCACGCAGCACTGCTCTGGCCAGTTCCCCTTTCTTTGCCCCACATTTCCTCTATTCCCGGGTCTGCGAGGAAGGTCTGGGAACACTAACTTGGTGCATTGCCTCATGAGAATTGCCTCATGCTACTTGAGAACTGCCTCATTCAAGAAGAATCCTCAACCGGCCACTGAGACTATCTTTAAGTCTGCTTCTCATTGAATGAAGCTGTCCAAAGCAGACTTAGCAGGGCCCAGGATCTGATTTATGCACTTTAAAATAAGTGATTAAGCAGGTTTTACTAATGTTGTACTTGTGAAAATTATATGCAAGATAGGCCTCATGTTATGGTAATTCATAAGAGCACTTGAAAGTGTGTATTCATTTCCTTCATCAGAATGTTACTAGATGACAGAAGAATGCAGTATTCTTATAAAACGGACTCAAAACTTAAACTCATGGTTTAAGCGTTGCTTGGTGTATTCCATGCATGGGCATATTGTCCAATTTGTTGTGGTCTTAACATGGGTAAGTTTTAAAAGTACTAACTAGCAAAATGTATTTGTAGACATAGGGAAGTGGTTCTCAAGCTGCAGCTCATGTGACATCCTCAGGGCCATACAAGTAGTGTTGGAAGCAGCCCACATAATACATTATGGGCTGCATATGTAGCTCACAGTGGTAAATAAATTGAGAACACCTGACCTATGTTGACATCCTGGTCTCATTAAGCATCATGTGTTTGTCAATAACACACAACGTAAACTTACCAAGCAAAATCCAAAGCATGCATCTCCCCCAAGGAGATGATGAGAGAAAAAACACAAAAGAAGTTAGTCGCATTGCTTAATGTCCTATTGGATGGCATTGATACCAGAGCAATGAGCATGTTGTAAGAATCTCTATAGAAGTCAGCAACAAAACTCTTATTCAATGGGACTAGGCTTTCACCAGGAATTCACAAAGCACTAGATCCTCAGCTAGTAGAAATCTGCATAGCCCCATAGAGGATATATACTGTACTGACTTACACTAGCTGAAGGCCTGGCCTTTAATGAATTACAATTATATACACATTTTGCTAGCTAATACATTTAATACTAAGATAAGATTAAGGATATACATTCTACAGGTAACATTTTCTGAACTGTGAATACCTTTCCTGGTACATTTTAATAAAAAACTGATCAGTGTTGTCTCTTAAACTGTTCCTTTCAGTGAGCTTATTAAAACAACAGATGGAGGACAGATTTCATTGGATTGGTTTGATAATAATGACAGCGTATGTTATCCTGATGCCAGCACGAGGCCCACTATCTTATTACTGCCTGGCCTCACAGGAACAAGCAGGGAATCCTACATTCTACATATGATCCAACAGAGTGAAATGCTGGGATATAGGTACTCATAGATTTACTGGCTAGCATTTTCCTTGCTCAGCTAAAATTGTATGAATGTGTATGTATAAGATGTCTCCTAGAGCAAATGATATCTATTGGAATCAATTACAGAGGATAATATTTGATGATAATAAATAAGAATTGTATAGAGCACTGTACAGACCTATATCTCTACTGCCATCAACGCTGTGCAAAATGCAAGATGCCAGAGCAACAGCTTTCAGATATACTTTGTTCAAGTATAAATTTCCACGCAGGTGTAAGGGAATGGAAAAATGATTCCCTAAATTCTTTGTGTGTCTTATTAATTATTTTTGTAATCTTTCCTCTGTTCCTTCAAGAGGAGGGCTATTATGTTGAGCTCCAAACAGGTAAATGTTAGAGGGGGCTGTTGGAGGAGGTGCCAGTTTGGGCAAAGGCTGCTGGATCCATATTCACTCAGATTCAGTGACAACAAAGCCTCTATTTGTTGTGTGTAGGGGGGGCCGCTAAAGGGTAGATTTTTGTCACCCCTCCCCTGTTCCGCCAATAGTCCAGTTATTCAGCCTTTGAAGCGGAGTTAGGCTAGGGAAATGAAATGGACCATAACTACAGCTCATAGGTGCTATAACTTCACTTATGTTCTGCTTTAGATGAAATAACACATTGTACTGCTGTGATTAGTCCAGCATCCCTATTTCAAAACTATTGAATTCTGTCACTGCAGACTTAATCCTGGCTCTGAGTATATTGACTTCTGCAAATGTTCGTGTATGACATTCATGTTTAGCTGCTCTTTCTTCGTGTGGAAGTTCAAATGGTAAAATAACTAAGGAACCTTATCCCCAAAATATAAAACGTGGGTACCTTTTTAAAAAATAGCAATATTATATGTATTGATGATGAATGTGTATACTTCTGGGCACACAAGTGAACGAATTTAGTTTTACAAAAAAATTAGGTCAGATCACAACGGAATAGGGTATGCTTGTTTAATTTTAAGCAATACAATCATTAGATTTAAAAGAAAAATAAGTCCATCTTTTAAAATTTAATTAACTTAAAAAAACCTAAGTTTTTAGATTTGAGAGGACACTGAAACAATAAGCTATATAAAGAAAACAAAAGATTTTAAAATCAAGATAATTCTTAATATCAGAAAGTTTTGCTACCGCCAGTATGAACACATAGAGAGAGGTCCATGCTGCACCAATTGAAAATATCCTTCCTGAATAACCCATACAAAAATCTTAGGTGTCTGGATCGGTGATTTTGTCTTTGTCTTATGTCTACTGCCACATAAACATTATATAGACTAACTCTGATCCTGCAATTTGATTTTCATGGGAAGAAACATGTGTCCATATAGAGCCCAAATGACTTCAGTGAATCTCTAAGCAGGTGTAAGGATCCATCCAGGCAGGTCAGATTGCAGAATAAGAATATAGCTTATTTAGTAGCTAAGTTTAGATTTCTTACTGAAATGCATTTATTTATGTATTATCATTACATTTTAGTTTTAAATGACCTTTAAAAATAAAAGTGTAATACTAAGATGATTCTTGTATTCTTCTATATAATAAATAAATGTATATATTCAGATTTACCTTATTCCTTTTTAGATGTGTAGTTTTTAACAACCGAGGAACAGCTGGTGAGGATCTCTTGGTAAGAATCTTTTTTTTTTTCTTTTTTTCTTTTTTTCTTTTTCAATACAAACTTTCATTGTCTAGACAACACATACTGAAGTCATCAGTGTTAATTCTCAGGGATGGATTCTAATCTAAGATGATCATGTTTGATGTGGCAAACTAACAAATGACTTCTACAGAATCTACCTGTAGTTGGCTGAATGCACATCTCTTATTATATTTATTCAGATTTAAATAGCTTCCATCTTCAATTTTTAATCTCAGTTCTTAGAGTGAAATATGCTAAATTGTGGTTGGTCCGTTAGGGCCTTATAAAAAAACCCCTAGAAATCAATGGAAAGATTCCCATTTACTTCTATGAGTTTCGATTCAGGGTCAGTCCCTTATGAAATTAAGAAATAACTGGTATATATTCACCTTTTAAAAAGACTGTTAATTTCTTAATTGGTACCTACTTTACTTGTAGGGCTCCACATTTCTTAATAAATATGAAACCATAGTCCTTTAATGTTCAGAAATCATATTGTCATTTTTTGAATTTTAGATGGTTGGATGTTATCAATAAAATGCTTCATAACTGCTTTTTTTGAGGATAACATGAATTTTGCAGCAATACATATTTGTACTATAATCTGCACAATAAAAATGTAGCATGCTAAATGGATGTATTTCATGTTAAAATATTTGAATAATTTAATGTCTCTACGAGCAAAATTATCTTTTGTATTTTCTTTTCCAAAATACTGTCGTATCTAAATGTACATTTGTAACTTATCCATTGCAATATTTTCTAATGTTTTAACACAGAGAAATAAGCTTTAGCAATTACTTTAAACCAAATTGTCTGTATAGATGTTAACAGAATCTGGAAAAAAATTAAAACATTTTGCCATTATTAACTGATCCACCATTATGCATTATTGTATGAATGAACCAGTTTTATCTGTCACATTTTAAAAAAAAATAAGCCTACTTTTATTTTTCCCAACAATTACAATATAGTATGAGCTACTAGCAGATTTTTTTTCAGAATTTACACAATATTTTAGAAACTAGTGATAAATTACTGGAATCTTAAAGTTAAGCACTTTTTGCAGCTAAGCTCAAGATGTGCTGAAATATTGTTGAATAAGCTTTGTTTCTTCATATATATTTTGTTGGCAAATTCTGCAGCTGTGTGAGGGTGCACAGTGCTGTGTATTGTTCTGGTTTGCATTTTTTAATCCACTGATTTAAGACAACCTAAAAATGCCCATAATGCTTTCTCTTAACCCATTAAAATGTTTCAGTGAAAACACTGCCATGTTAAGAGTCGCTTTTCTGCATACTTTTGGAGATGTATCTAGAAAGCTGTTTTGTGACACACAAAGTCCTTATTGATGAATTTCAGATTCAGTAAGTGAAAAGATCTCTTGTTTCAATGCTTTGTGTGTATTTCGGTGTAATCAGCTTAACATATTTTATAAGATTTCACAATGGACTAAAACAGCTTAAGTTATAACATTTTTTCTGCAGTTTTTTCATACTTATAGAAAATCCCCAAGTAATGAGTCTGAAGCAGAGTCAGGCAACACAATAACATGTAGTCATGCAAATAATTATTTGTCTTGTCTTTATAGAAAGATTTTACTTTGAATTTCCACTAAAATACCTATTTAAAGGATTGGGACTTAAAAAAAATACTGTATTGTAATGGGTGTTCTATTGAACATTAATCTGTTGGAGTGAATTATTGTTTTGAAATGATCATAAGTTAGAGAAACACAGGCATTTTAATTGAAAAAGCAACAGATATATATATTTTATTAAAAAAATCATTAGAGAAATGGAATATAAAGATGAGACTCTCTCTATTTTTACAGTATTTAAGTCAAGCATGCTTTCTTATGAAAAACATTATACCCTCCTTAATGAAAATAATTTACTTTTCTTTCTCTGTACTTGCCTATTTAATTAAAATAAAATATATTCATACTCAGGTTACAATTAATGGGTTGTAATAAAAGTCTGTGGTAACTCATATAGTTTCGTCCCAATCCCAGTCCCCCCCTCCCTTCTGATATTTTATTTTCAACATCAATATTTTTATATTTTTTGTTAGGTAGCTTTGAATGAATCAGTTTTGTATAATTAAAGTGTTAAAACCAGCCACATATTTCCAAGCTGTTTAACTGCAAGCAGTTTAAAAAAAGAAGCTGAAAATGCATTGTTGCCCCTGGCTCATGAGGTTCTGAATAAGCAAAACTAAAGCATCTTGTACAATATTCGAAA